TTTCCCTACTCATTCGATGGTTGTCATTTAACAAGAAAAATGGAATATAAGTACCTCGGCCTTCATTTCACTCACAACATGTCCTGGTCCAAACACATTGATATTACGTATAATAAAGCCCTGAAGAGATTAGGTTACTTACAGCGCGTTCCCCGTGTAGCACCAAAAGAAACCAAGCTCTTAACATTTAAAACGTTAGTACTGCCATTACTCGAATACGGTTGTGTCGTGTGGAATCCACACAAAGCGTCAGACATTGCAAAACTAGAATCCATACAAAAAAAAAAAAAAGCCGTCCGTTTTATCTGCCGAAGATATGACCGGGATTTTTCGCCTACGTCCAACTTGGCACCTTTGGGTTTAACTCCTTTATCTGCCAGGCGCCATTCAGAATGCTTAAAGCTCCTGTACACCTTGATTAATTCGCCGCGCTTGCCCTCGCTCCACAGGTATCTGCAGTTTGCCACACCACCCTCTGTTCACACCAGGAGTCAACATGCGCTAAATATTACGCCACTTCACCCCAAAACTGATTTGTTTAAGTATAGCTTTTTCCCCTTAACTATTGAGCTCTGGAACTTGCTACCCGGCGATACCCGCGGGCTCCCTTTGGAGCAGTTTCTGAGTGCAATATCACATGCGTGTTAAGTAGATATTTCCATGTTCTTTTGCTTTCTGTGCTCTTGCTCTGTTCATTCTGTATCTTGTGTAGTACTATGAACCACAAATTTGTGCCATATGCTCATGTTTTTGTTTCTACTTGTTATCACCTGATCATTTGTATGTCCACTCCTGCAATAGCCCTAATAGGGGCTGCAGTATGTATATATAAAAAATAAAAAAAAATATAAAATATATCTTCCAATCCTCCTCTGCGAGTCACGAACGAAATGCAATAATAAACGACATATCGCGCGCGCGCGCTAGGGTGTGTGTGTGTGTGTGTGTGTGTGTGTGTGTGTGTGTGTGTGTGTGTGTGTGTGTGTGCGTGTGCGTGTGCGTGTGTGTGTGTGCGTGTGTGTGTGTTTTGACAGGGGCGAGTGACGGAACGACCTCGCCGTCTTACACAGTTGTACCACGCATGGCTGCACCCGCATAATGTACGAGCTCTTTTTTGCTCTGGCCTGCGTGCGTACGTTCTTCACATTGTCGACGATGGGCCTTTTGAGTTACGTAGTAGCCCCTTATACTTTGAATAATAACAAAGAGGGAGATAGAGAGAGACAACGAGGAGGTGTCCAGTCGGAGACCGAGAAAGTCCGGTGAGCGTGAAAAGTTGGTCAGCGCGGACCGAGCGAAAGAAATCTGGCACTCGTGGAGCCCTTTGCATGCTTGCAAGGAAGCAGAGAGACAGAAAAATAAAGAACTTCTCTTGCTCATATGTAATTAATTCGCGTGTTACATGCGTTACAGGCTTACAATGCACATTTAATGTATCCAGGAGTAATATTAAAGGGACGTCGAAGTGAGCCGCTTGATCAGTTTATACACAGATAAATAGAGATTAATTGAATTTAGGTAGTTTCGCTGTTATACGCTCGTTATTATAAGATGACCCATCGTCGTGACTTCGCTTATGCCGGTGCGCTGCTAAGGCGAGACGAATTTGTTTCAATTCTCGCGCCGTTGGGTCACCCCACTCTTCCTCCCGAGCCCTACCACAGCTCTCCCTTCTACACTAAGGGGTGTCCCGTTATCATAGGTTTTGATAAGCGAGACCTCAAAATTAGCTTTTTTACGAATAAATGAAAATACAGTTTCGCTTTTTAAATTTCGTGCTGAAACTTACAACGCTGCTGCATCAGTGTGATGCCAGGTATTACATTGTACGCGTGTTTCTCTCTCTCTCCCTTTATGTGTGTGTGTTTTGTATATCGCCTATAGTGGTTCAATAAAAATTTCCGGGGGCTTTCAATCTAAACCCCCGGGTTCCTTTCGATCATGGTGCGATAAATTCCTTCCACGAGTAAATAGTTCTGTACAGTACTTATGGATCCAAAAGCGACATCAATTATCATAGCGAATCTGTTCTTCGTCGACTGTTTCATGTCTGGGATCCGCGGTAACGCTTGTAGGTATCAAACGAGCATGTGCCACAGACATTGGGTGAACCCCACTGCACACAACTTCCACTACAAAAATAACCGAAAAAATTCTGCCTACGCTGCTGCGTGGAACGGTGATCTATGAAAGCAAGGGAACACCTCTCTCTGTTCAGTCTCTTTACGTGCCTCAGTGTTGCTTGAACACAGGTGCCTGTCGGGAACGCGCAATCAAGATGATCGAGTGTCGTCTTCTAGCAACCGTTATTACACAAGATCCAACTCGAACCTCAACGTTATCCGTTAAAGCCGCGCGGCGTAGGGTAGAACAAAGGCGTTGTCACGGATTCGCACGGTGGGCGCGCATATCTACAAGCATTTCGTTCCGTGCGTTTCGGTGTTATTTGCATCGTCTCCCGCTCTCTTTTTGTTCGTTTTACTTTGGTTTTTTTTTTCTCACCCAGGCCCTTCGTGTAACCCCACGCCTCCGCCTACCCCGTATTGACGCCCTTATATAACTTGCTCCTTCGAACGTTCTAAATTCCGAAAAAAATAAAAAAAAAAAATTATCGAGACACTCAGCAGGCGCGGATGGGACAACACCGCGGTGGCCTCGCGATACTGGAACCTGTGGGACTGTGAGCGTATATTTGATGTGCTCCTACCGGACGCCCTCAAAGCAAACTTGGCGGGCTTCTCTTCTGTAGCGTCGTCAATGAAGGCAAGAGTGTGCGCAAGCGAGCCGCGTACCGGAAACTACTGGCGCCTATAGGGCGACCGACATTGAGACCGTGTACTGGGTCGGTGCCACGTTCAAACGTTCAACACGCTATGAAAAGGCGTTTACTGCCCTGGCATATATACATGCAGGGTGTCACTCGAGAAGCAGGGTCTACTGGACGAGTTGGTAGAACTCATTTAACGGTGGTCCGCGAAAAGAAAGGAAGCACAAAAGGAAGAAAAGTTGTTCGTAATTAGGGGGCTTTCTTTATTAACACGAAAAAAAAAAATGAGCACGCGATTAGTACGTTGTTAAAGGTAGCGCAGACTGATGCCGTTTCAGCATGCCCACATCTGCCTCTGACATTTTGATAATTAGGTGACTACTTTAGGTAACGACTGTAATTATGATTAAACAATTAATAATTGATTGATTGATTGATTTGTTGGGTCTAACGTCCCAAAACCACCATTTGATTATGAGAGACGCCGTAGTGGAGGGCTCCGGAAATTTTTACCACCTGGGGTTCCTTAACGTGCACCCAAATATGAGTACACGGGCCTACAACATTTCCGTCTCCATGTTAAACAATTAATAGTCATTAAACAAAATACCGTAGTAGCGGATACTTTATACTAGGAACAATATGCACTAGGTTTGCCTCGCGTAACGCCTTTGCTGTTTTTTTTTTTAATTACGCTGGGACAATTGACACACCCTGTGTTACATATACAGTGTCCAGTGCTTAACCGCTCGTGTAAGTTTCCTTTCACTGTATGTCGCTACATTACTGTGCTATTCCAATGTTCATATTTTGCACGCTATTGTGACCGACCCACCCTCATATGCACAGATCGGCAAACTCGCTCGTAAGTCGATTCACTCAGACTCAGATCGGGCTGTGAGTCTGAGTCTTGATGAGTGATAAGACATATTGACTGATTGATTTGTGGGTTTAACGTCCCAAAACCACCATATGATTATGAGAGACGCCGTAGTGGAGGGCTCCGGAAATTTCGACCACCTGGGGTTCTTTAACGTGCACTCAAATCTGAGCACACGGAGTGATAAGACAGATCCTTGGGCTAATTGGTGATTGGGAATCAACATATTTGCACAGCGCAAGACTACGAGTAGTTACGACGTAACTGCAGAAGAAGAGACAAGAAGTGCACTTTCTGTCCTTGTCTCTTCTTCTGTAGTTACGTCGTGACTACTCGTAGTCTTGCGCTGTGCAAATATGTTGATTGATGAGTGAGTCCTGTTGAGGAAAAGTTTAGTGAGCCTGAATCGAATCGAGTCCGGTTGAGGAAAAAAGTTAAACGAGTCTCCGAGGGTATCCAGTTGAGGAATATATATGTAGTCAGTCCCAGTCCAAGTGAGTCCTATGCGCAGAACATATTCTTTGGATGAGTCTAGGTGAGCTCTACTTTATTATTTCCGACCTATGCTCGTATGTGACGTTCGAATGGACATTTCAAGTATATCAGACATCTCAAACACACACGGCCTGCCCCGCTCATGAATTTATTTGCCGATTTTTTTTTTGCATTTTTGATAAGCAGGTTCATGAGCTACTCAGAGTTGGGATTGGTCTCACGCATATTTTTTTTTGTTAGGCGTGTATTCTATGCTGTCACTGTTAAAAAAAAAGTGGACATAGGGTGGAGGAGATGAAGAGAAAAACGAGGGATGGGCGTGGCACGTGAGGGGGTCTACGCCGCAATACACGTATGGCTCTGCTCTTCATTTCCAGGTGCATTAGTACTTTGAAGCCGGTTTTCTACGAAATAAGGCTTCGGATTTTACAGTCACCTCATGTCAAAACGTCGCCGTAAAGCAAAACTATATTTTACAATCGGCGTACCGATTGCGGCGGTCATTCTGGAGATTAGTGTCGATGTATATGGTTCTCAGAACCTCCCTTGTTCCCCTCTCTCCGCGTGTTGGGTAGCAAGCTGGACGCTAACCTCTCTACCTTTCTTATATCCTTTCTCTCTTCCCTCTTGGAACCTTACGTCAAATTTTCAATAAGTGCCCCATGTATCAGATAAATATGAGAAAAGCCTTGCAAATGCCGCTGTTATCTGCCGTTTTGTTCGAACCCCATGAAGCGCTCGGTATACACGATGCACGACCGCGTTGCGCTTCTGATATACATAGAAGTCAAGACATGCACCAAAAAACGGCGTTTGTCGTGTCTTGACTTCTTGTCCATGGACGAATCGACGCGATGTACGTTACACAGACAACCGCTTTATTTCAGATCCGAACGTCGTCGAGCAGTTGCCGCTGCGTAGCGCGCGTATCGTCGTCCTCTGAAGTCCGTCCATTTCCTGCTGCCATTCAGAAAAATGGCCCGCCAACGATCGCCGTGTTTTTGTCGTCACTGCAAGAGACATTGGGCGTCAGTTGAGAAAATGAACAGGGCTGTACAGAGACGTCTGAGTGCGCGTCGAGGCACAAGGACGTTGCTTCTTTCTAGTGGCGTCAATTGCAGGGTGTCCCCGTTAATTTTCGGCCAGATTTTAGAAATATGCTGACGCGCTCAACGATGGCGCGAATAAATGTGTGTTTCAGACGCCTACGAAGCAACACTTACATACATGGCATATTAATGCACCGTCTCTACCCAACGACGCATGGCTACATGTGCCCGCTCTGCAGCGTACCAGACACCCTGGCACACTTGCTCCTGGAATGCCAGTGCCACGCAAACCATGGCGTGCAACTGGAGCGGGACCAAGCACCAAGAATGAACGACGACCACCCAATGGAAACGTAGAGGGCCAAGCTCGTCCTCGAGGACCTGGAAGACCAGCGACAACTTGTTGCCAGGGCCAAGAGGGCAGTCGAAGCCTGAGGGTTCCTGGACTAGGGAAGAGTGACACCGGGCCTCGCTCGGAACACTGCTTCTAAATAAACGTTTATTTCTCTCTCTCTCTCTCTTTCTCATTATCACATAAAGTAAGTCACGCTGTCTTTTGTGTTCTATTTAACCTGTTCATTTGACAACGTTACTTCACCATCTATGGCCGCAATGAAGCTGGGCAAGACATCCTAATAAGAAAGCTGTAGATGGACTTGCAGAACGTCCGATAAGCCAATTGCTAAGTTTGTAATCATTAAGCATTATTGCTTTACTGTTTAATGCAGATTCCCGAGAAACACAAAATTATACCATGTGACATACCCGCCTGCGCGTCATGGTTAAGGTTCAAAGGCCGGACCACAAGTAAGCGTTGCTGCGCGTCAGCGCCTGTCTTTATGACGCGACAAGCGCGGGGCCACGCGAAGCTATGCGCCCTTTCTCTCCATTGGGAGAGGGTGCGGCGCCGCGTCAAAAAGCCATGCATGCGCTGACAGACACGCTAGCGCCGACTGGTTGTGCCCCCGCGATATCCGACGACGGCGCAGCTCTGGCCGACTTGCTCGCCCTACGCCATCTCCTGACGCCGACAAGTGCTCTCGCCGAGTGGTGCCCTGCCCTCGGACTCCTGCGGGCGTGTCCATCTTTCCTATCTCCTCTTTACTTCCGTCGCTCGCTGTTCCTGCGCCTCGCTCTCTCCTTCCTCTCTCTATATATACCTTTAATCATATGCTTTAATTCCCCCTTACCCACATCCCTTGTGAGCTACTGTTGAGGTGTCGCACTTTGATGCAGGCAGTTACGGGGCTCACTTTGCTCTTCTTTTCCTTAAGAATCACATAAGAAGGCGATGTGCTTTCCTTGTGGCTGGTCATGTTATGCGATTCACAGACCAAACAGTCACTGGCATAGGCTACCCCCCCCTCGTGAAAAGTACTTTTCTATATTTGCATATGCATGCAGACGCACGAACGCGCACACAAACACTCATAAAAATTGCTGAAGCCCCCCCCCCCCCCTCCCTCGTCCTGCTTCCCTAACATTTTTTTTAAGGCAATGCTGCTGGCAGCGGTTATTGCTTGTGTGGTCACAAGTGACAGGTGCGAATTGCGGTACAGTCGCCTAACATAGCTGTCCGGTTCTTTTTTGTTTTTTGCAACTTCTGTAGTTTTCTATCATGGTGAATAAAACGGCCCTAGATGAAGAAACACTTAAAAGTTAGCGGTGTTATTTGTTTAAAATAATATAGTGACTATAAATGACGGAAAATTTATGATTAGCTTATAATATTTTGTGGAAGAAATGGGACTCAAAATGAACCAGCGCGGCAATCTTAAGCAATGAATCGACACTCAGTGCAATCTTTTGTAAAGTTTATCACATTTGTCGTTAGCTATGTCCAGGTGATTACTAAAACAAGTCTTTTCTACGCAGTATCATGGATCGACGCAACGGCCATAAATCTGGGACAATAGATAGCATACATACTTGGGCCAGAATTCTTCCGTCCAGGGTACCATCTTTGCATTGAGGCACTCCTGCAGAAAAGTTTCCAGCGAAGACGTAAGGACAGTATCGTGCAGAGCGATAAGGGAGTCGTATCGAAAGTGTACGAATCCATTCTATAGCACACTATATACTTCTAGCGTATCTGTATTGACAATCTGCATGCACTGAATGCTGGTAGTATAATACAGCGTTGTACAGGTGTCCTTTTCGAAAAAAAAAGTTAAAAATGCGCTGTATTCCCCTTTAGCCGCCGGCTGGGTTACACTATACGTACCATAGTGAAGTACAATATACCCGAGTTCACTGTAAGTGTTTTGTTTGCCTATCTGAACTATACGGCACGAGGTGGCGCCACCGATCCGTTCAGACACCCCAAAATCATCATCATCTTTATTTCAGACAAGTGCAAATACAAGATGTTCATATTTGTGCTGTATAAGAGGCTTTCAACAACAACAAAAAACGCGAATGCCTGACAGCTCGTCATACCCCTTTCTATACGCACATCACTCAAGCTACAGAAGCGGTTTAGGCTTAATACGACAAAATGTGTCCATAATACAAAACAAAGTACGAGCAACAATTACTAGTACTCTGACGTTGAAAATATTACAGGGTCATTAAAGAGAACAAGGATTTTTCGCATATTTGTAAATTACTGTTTCGCAATTACAAGACCACCACGCTTGCAGCGATCAGATGTTTGGGGAGCTAAAAGAAACGGGAAATAAATTACTGGGGGAGACGCCACTGCGTGAACTCTCCACACCAAACGCCTTGACGTCATAAAGTTTTGCCGACGTCTACTTGGTCCTGCGCAGTTCCTAATCAACCGGTAAAAGTAAAGTAGATTGGCCTCCAAAGGGCCATTGGCATACGAAGTTGCAAGAAATTTCGTTGAGCCAATGTCGCTAAATTGAAGAAACAAAATCACAGCTTATCTTCGAAGTAAATGTTGACGAGTGGGCGAAGCTACAGAGTATTATTTACCCCCGTAGATTTCCCACTCGATCATGCATGCAAGGACGTGACAACACGTGTTACAATGTTGTTTATTATCACAATGTGCATATGATGTTGACATGTCCATATAGACATTCATATGGACATCCGTATAGATATCCATATGAATAAAGATATCCCCATCGATATGGATGATATGGATATGGATGATATGGATATGGATGACGATATGGATGTCCATATTACTATACATATGGCTATCCGTATGAATATAGATATCCATAGCGTGCCCCGCCGACGGGCATGAGACATGGCTCGACCCTATAATGAGCTTAGCCCTTAAAAAAGCATTTAAGCCCGTGAAGGAACGCGCGGATATTCTGGCGCGAAGCTTAAAAATGAAGCTCTTATTTTCTTCTTTGTTAACAAACATATGGTGGTCAATTAACGACATTCGAGTTTTTAGAGTATGATTTGTCGCTTTAAACAGATTCACTGTTCCACTTTAGTGTCCATCTAAGGTGAAAGACTTCCATACGCATCACGAGTCAGAACTTCCGGTGTCAGGTGGCGTCGTCAGCATGAATGGCACCAAAAGTCACGTGACAAAGTGATGACGTCATGTTATGACCCAGTATAAGGGAGTCAATTTAATCGCCCGCCATGGTCAAACTATTCTATTCTCGTGAGAGCGTACGCTTTCGCAAGCGTTATTCGAAAATCGTGGGTTCCTGGGCCCCAACCGTCACCAAAAACTTATTTTTTCATTCACTTGAATTCAGTTCACCCGATTCCATATTTAGTGCTGTAGTAGTGAACGACAAATACTGTTTTCCTTGTCTTAATTCTATACTGGTGCCATTTGGTTGTGTCAGACAAACGAGTAACCCGAGCATCATCTTAACGAACACACACAACACACGCACACGCACGCACACACACACACACACACACACACACACACACACACACACACACACACACACACACACACACACAAACGCCACTTGGCTTCCACTTGGTGCCAGCCTTGTTTAATATAAAATCAGTGTGAATAAGTATTCACATAAATTTAGTAAGGACGTTGCTATGCCAAGAAAATAATAAGCTTGCTGTAGGAAACTTGCTCGTAATGCGTAACCAATACGGTTTATAAAATGATTTATAAATATCCTTCCCTCGAAGGAAACTGCCGGTGTTTAAATGAAGTTTATTCATTTGTTCAAATCCTCTAGGTCATAACTTTAGTACGTAATACCTTGAACGCTTTTCCAAGTTCCTTGGCGCTTTCAAGGCTCGTCAGGTTTACCGCTTCGAGTTCCTGGAATAAAAAAAGGGAATAAGTTGCGTCGGCTGTTTCGTCAGGGATCGAAATTGAAGGAACAATACAGGAACGGACGAAAAAAAATGCCGCCACATCCACGAAGTGAATGATGATGAGTGGGCGAAGCTCCGGAGGTAAACCTGGTAAACCATGAATCCTCCGTACATTTTGCCCACTCGATTTTATTGCAATGCTCCCCCTAGCGTACGTCGCCGCACTATATCGAACGATGACACGCGCCATATGTGGCATCATTCCTATTTTATAACACCTCGCATCTTTCATAATCAACTACACGTACCGCCGTCTAGTTTATAACATCTTGCATCTTTTGGATAGACGGACGGACGGACGGATGGATGGATGGACGGATGGATGGACGGATGGATGGATGGATGGATGGATGGATGGATGGATGGATGGATGGATGGATGGATGGATGGACGGACGGACGGACGGACGGATGGACGTATGGATGGATGGATGGATGGATGGATGGATGGACGGACGGATGGATGGATGGATGGACGGACGGATGGACGGATGGACGGATGGATATGGCTGTACCCTTTAGATCGGGCGGTGGCTAGCGTAATACTTAATGCCGTCAGCTACAAGTACCGCCATCTAGTGAACACTGCAAGAACTGAACGAGAGGTGGCTACATACAGGGGACGCACAGCCCACGCCTTAAGGAGCTTCGCTCCTAAAAAGAACTTGTGTAGCCCGTTTTCGATATGCGCGTCAACGAATATAAACCACACCTTGACGAGCACGTGTGGTTCACCAGAGAGGGCGCTGCAAGAGAACTTTGTCGCATCGCGCAAGATGCCACACTTACACGCTCTAGAATTCTCGGCTGAACTCCGATCGTCTCCCGCAGAACCTTGAATCGTTATTCTAGCTGCAATTCATTGAATGTCTCTTGACGGGGCGCTACAACGTTGCGTCGGCTTAGTGTCGTTGCAGCGTTTAGGACCTCATTCAGCTATAGCATCATGTGGCGAATTCATCCATGTGCGATTACTGACAACTGTGTAGAGACTGTTGATAATCGCTTGCGCATGTGTCCCCAATTAGAACAAGATCGCCTGACTCTCCAGTTTAACCCGAGGAGCCTCTATGATCGGCCTTTCACTCAAGAAAACGTCGCATGCTGCGGAGCGAGAGGTCCCTCGTTCGATTCCGAGCGTCGGAAACATGATTGTTTTTTTTTCTTTGTGGCATTTTAAATATATAAATATATAGATACCTATACGGGACCTGAAGGTGACGGCAGAAACCAGTCGAAGGTGTCGATATAATTGCTCTCACAGTAAGAAAGATCTTGGGAACATAATCTGACAGTACATCAGCCCAGGAAGCCACACGAACTCTCAGGTAGTACTTGAAGGCAACGACATTCAGCGAACGCCTCTGAAACCTGTGAAAGTGTGTGTGGTGTGTGCAATGTGTCTCTATTTTCTTCTCTCTCACTCCCCAGCATTATTCCCCTCCCCATCTATTGGGTAGCAAACTGTATGTATAGTGTGGGTAATCTATCTACCTCTCCCTTTCTCTCACTCTAAACTAATTGTGGTGTGTGGCAGCCGTAAGTTATGCACACTGTGTGTACCATAACCTTGTTCAGCTTTCTGTGTTCGCGCGCGCGACGTCATTGGAGAAATTTCCAAGGAAATTCGTGGTGAAATTCGTGGGGAAACTCTTGGAGAAATTTATCTGTGTGCGACTCACCTCCTTCATGTCGGTGGTGTAGTTATAGACACAGCTGTAGAAATTTCCCAACTGAAAAAAAAAGCAACATCAAAAAGCGCTCGTATTTTACTTTCTGGAGTAAACTATTAAGCTTGTATACGTAACAACCGTGTTAAAGCATAAATCAATTTGATGAATACATTAATATTCCTCCACAGTACGAGTAAAGAACACAAAAAGTTGCAGTTAATAGGGTAGTTGTCTGTCGCCCGTGAGAACATTGGAACAGGTGAGTCAAGCTGGGAGCTTAGATTACAATAGGCTAGTTTATCACAATCCTGTTACCTAATTTGAGGAGACGAAGTAATCGTATTAACTGCGTCGTTACCAAAATACATCCAGCATCAGTGCTCGTCCGCTATAGGCTGCGCGAAATACCTGTTCGTGCGACTTGTATACGCATGACGATAGTTATAGCGCGAGAACAAAACGACGACACAGAGACAAGAAGGACACGAAAGACACGAGCGCTTGTCTTGTCTCTGCGCTTCTTGTCTCTGTGTCGTCGTTTTGTTCTCGCGCTATAACTATCGTCATGCCATACCAACTAGCCCAAGCTGCCACACTTCTAAGTTGTATACGCAATTTGAAAATGCGAATGATCATTCAGATTGCAAAAAGTCTGCTTGAATAAGTCGCTATAACTCAGGGTCTCTCCATTTCCAGGAAGATAATAACATGTACATACTCTATAACCACACCTTCCGCTGTCTGTCCCTTTCAGCGTGAATTCGGATGCAGAGCAGCAGTACACACGTCCTTCGCGAATAAGCTCGAGAATCGCGCAAAACGGGGTCTTGCGAATACAACTGGCTAGCTGCCTGACTGTTTAATTACCCCACGTTTTATACAGCAGCCACACAGACTGGCCCACTTACGAAACTTGCGTCGATGCAGCCGTCGTGGTATTCTCGTAGCAGCGTTTGATAGCAGCCGGACAAGACTGCGCGGTCGTGCTGCGTCTGGTTGCTGCTGAAGCCCTGCACAATGCAGATAACATTGAGAATTAGCTGTGCACATGAAGATCACGTGAGCTTATGAACGCCTTAGATGTCTCATCGAACGCGGTAAGGGACCGTCGGCGTCACCGTGAATTGGTGCAATAAAATCATAACTTGGCATCGTCACACGACGACGTCACAGTTCGCCAAGAATTTCGGACGTCGTTACAACGTCACCGCGATGTCGCGTGACGTCGAATCATGTAACGTCACGTGATGATGCGATCACGTGATAGCATCGCTTGGCCAAAGGTGGGCATATCTCAGATGCACTGCAAAACGACAGCAGCAGTAGCAAGCTTGCTGCGTCGCCGATCTCAGAGGTAGCACTAAACTACTTAAGGTGTATGGAGCTGTCGGGAAGAGGAGGTGGAGGGAATCAAGACTAAGAATAAAAAAGAAAAAAAATAGTAAGTGGCTTTCGCCTTCGAGCCATCTTATGCGAATGAATGAGGCACCATGCGACTCTTTCTTCGCTTGCTTTAAGAACTTTGAACGCTCGGGGGCCTCGCAAACACTAGCGGCAACAACAACAACAACAACAACAACAACAACAACAACAACAACAACAACAACACCCATGACCATTTAATTTCACAGGAGAGAATCGTAAACACGGCACACTCATGGTTGTGATAGAAACCGCAACGAGATCGATGGAAATTTGGGGTTCCACTCGGCGCCCGTGTTAAATCTCCGCGAGTACAAGAGAAGCCCCCCCCCCCCCCCATCTCCCCGAATAATCGAACGGAGTCTGTCTCACGCATATACACAGTTGTATCTGTGCCCTCATAGTTTATTGCACCTGTTCTTTTTATGGTAATGTAGGTTTTAAGTGCTTAATGCTTTAGGGGCGCGCTGGCTTGTCTATCCAATGTCGGATGTCGCATGGTCACTCAGTGGTCAATACGGGCCTAAAACAAGGCCATAATTGCTCAAAACAAGACCAAAATGAACTAACAAAGTTTAAAGTAATATAAACGACATAATGAGCAATAATTATTGCAGTTATTTGCGTAGCACCGTAAAACATGTATCTGAAACATGTGGCTGTTACGCGCGCCGCGCGAGAGGGGGCGCCACCGCTTCGGAAAGTTCGTGGTTGCCTGGGGAATCGCTGGGTTTCCCGTGCTACGCACTTTCTCAGGTGTCGTGATATTGGAACTGCATTAAGCGCACATATTTTGAACTACAATGACATTTACTCAAGAACGACGCTAGCGTGGCATGAGAGGGCGGGTTTGATAACAGTACAACTGCATGCAGAATACCTTAACTGCAGAGTTAGCGCTGGGTTAGAGCAGGATTGCCGCTATACGTTAAGCGCTGGATTTAGAGATTTTAAGTGCGGAGCACTACACGGGCCCGACTTGTCGTCCGTCCATGCATCTCGTGGGTAGTGATCATGCTCACTGTAAGTGGCTCAGCAAAGCTCATAACCGGGTTTAGACGAATGAACAAGTTTGTAAATGATGCATCCAACAGAAAGAATTGAGCAATAATTGCAATTATGAACTTAATATTCCTAAAACCGTTTAGAATACATGCGGCTGAATACATAAGCCGAGCGAGCGAATGCCCTCGCATCTCAAATGTCGTAACGAGCAGGAAGTCTGTCAGGCGTAGCAAAGAAAGTATCTCAGATGTCGTACACCGAGTGTGCCAATCTGCCTAACGAGATTCTGCTCGTGGTCGGGAAATCCTGCGTGCTTACACCAAACGCTGACGTCATTGACGTTTTGTTAAACGAAGCAGTGGAAACTACGAACGGGAATCGCCGGGTGCTTGTGCTACGCAGTTCCTCGGCTTTCGCAGTAGTGGCTGAGTACTCCAGCACTACTGTGAACCAATGGTGGCCGAGACCAATAGTGGTCAGCAACAGGGGTCCTCGGCTAGCGTTGCCCGAGGACCCCTGTTGTATTCCAATAACTGCTTCCACATTTGTCCCTTGAAATTCGGGAACCAAAGCAGTGGCGGATCCAGAGGGGTGTCGAGGGAGACTCCCCAAAGTCTGTGTCGGCAGCGCCCCACCTCTCCCTCTGCTGTCTGTTCTTCCCCCCCTACCACCAATTAAGACAAATGAGTGAGATCCCTGTGGGCACAAATTAACAGTATTTACGCTTCGATTGTGTTCTTGGGATCGCAGTAACTACGCTGAAAACAAGACAGTGAGGGCATCGCTTCTCCTCGCCAGTTTTATTTCGAGCGACCGCCCTCCCTAAAATGAGTGGCTCGATTCACCCCTGAATCATAGGCTGGTCGTTGTGAGAGGCATGGAATTACGCCTTTAAGGGGCCCCTAAACCACCCCTAATTTGAAGGCGAGTCAGTTTCTTGCCTTCACTACCTTTCCTACGAGTGCCATCACCTCCTCGCCACTAACTTCTTCACAAAGCACGTGTCATGTCAGCTCTAAGCGTTGAGCCAGTTGGGATTTCGCGCTTTTCCACTGTACGCTGCTATCTCTGCTTGCGCAGTCGCAAACGCAGAAAAGGAAGTGAAGTCAATTTATCGCGCACAATAGGCGTGCAATACGAGGCAGAATTAGCATGCGACTGCACGCCATAGTGAAGTGTGGAACATTTCACCACAGATATATCTCGTATATTGACCAGTCGAGAGCTTATTTCATCCTGGCGTCACGTGAACAAACTGCTGACGTCCCATATTGTGGCACCAGAATAGGAAACGCCTGGACAGAATAAAGTTCTCGTTTTTTTTTTTTGCATTTTCAGAGGCTGTTTAGGGCCCTTTGTTAACTTACATCTTTGCATCCACGGCGAAGCTTTCTTTTTTTTTGCTGGACCAGCTACGAGTTATCAGGCAAGCCGAAGATGCCACTAGGGTCCAAGGACTCTTAGCTGCCATCTAGGGAAGAGGATATGATTCCTCTGAAAGGTGTTTCTTTTTCTCTCTTTCTGGTCTCGCCCAGTGAATGAGGTGGAGGGGGGGACACTATGGTTAAAACTTTTTCCCCACTCTCCACCCTCCACGGAGAACCTTGCGCACGCGAGTGGTCATATAAGATATACGAATTTCGTGAAGGCAATCCGTAACCGCAACGGGCGCATTAGTATAGTTCGCGCAAATGGCTGACCGCAACACCTTGCAACATTACTTAATTACTGGTTCGTGAAAAAGACAGAAGAGTAACACTCTCGCAGTTACTTATGCATTGTTCTGTGGCGACTCGAAGGCGAAGCCATCTTATAGTTCTCAGTCGATGTACTGATCCTAACCTGAGACTCCCTGAGGAGTGCTTTCGGCACCAAGCGTGGTTTTACCAAGGCCTCCGAGATAGCGCGCCGGACGTGACGACAGTGTCGCTTGGTAAAGAGTGAGCTAATCACGGAGACTCAGGTGATGTGCAGAAAGCTCGAAATGAAGTGGACTCTGGAGGCAATGTAAAACCAAGGCGTCCAAGATTGCGCGCATCTTGGACGCCTTGGTTCCCTGCACATCCCAAATCCCTGCACATCACCCGAGTCTCCGTGATTGGCTCACTCTTTACCAAGTGACACTGTCATCACGTAACGTCGCGGTAAGTGACGCCATGATGACGTCATATGGTGACGTCGTCTCGGTGGTGTGATTTTTAGTATCACCATGGCGTTGACGCCACCGCGTCCGCTGGTTCATTCTCGCGTTTGACGAGGCACACAAAGCAAAAAAGCCCTCGAAAACGGCACGAGGGTAGGATAAACTCACGCCTTCAGCTCCACCGTTGAGTCCTTTCTCGGCTTTTACGGCGTCGACGCACTCTCGATTGACGTGGTCTGCGAAAGGCGATGGGTATTTTATTGAGGAGTCAAAACAACTAAATGAGTAGTGATCAGCTGTCTTTAGAATTAATAGTCGTCTTGACATAACTACCTACGTAAAACTTGCATGTCCCTTATGATACAAGTGAAGATGGCCGGAATATAGCCGTAGGAAGAGGTCATCAAGAGCTCGATAATTAAATCGGACATGGCGCTACTAGAGTCCAAAACGAACCTAGTCTATATTCCTTGAGCATCCCATTTCCCGAATTCTCAGGCGCGACACTGCAACACACAGACAACAGCGCCGCCTGATGGCGCTGCGTTTTGGTTGGTAACATAGTGGCACCTTCCGCATTTCCCTGTGATGGCTGGAAGGCGAAAGCGATTTTTTTCTTCTCCATCGGCTTTATTTATCCCCCAAAACCGTCCTGCGTACAACGTCGCTTTGAAATGCCTCCAATATTGGCCCATTTTTCACCAATTTTCCCGCCGCGGTGGTCTATAGTGGCTAAGGTATACTCAGCTGCTCACCCGCAGGTGGCGGGATTGAATCCCGGCTGCGGCGGCTGCATTTTCGATGGAGGCGGAAATGTTGTAGACCCATGTGCGCGGATTTGGGTGCACGTTACGGAAACCGGGGTGGTTGAAAGCACCGGAGCCCTCCACTACGGCGTCTCTAATATTCATATGATAGTTTGGAGGCGTTACACAGCACATACCAATCACCTTTCACCAACCGACGAGGTAGTGTAATGACGTCTCATTACGTGACGCCGAAGTGACGTCATTGCGAGAGGATAATTTCTTGCGTAACTCGTGTTGACCGGTGGTTCGGTCAAACCTCCAGCATTGATCTGGTCTTTCTTACTTATCGAATGTTGCGCATGTCCCGCAAGAAAAGTGTTGGCGCCTGGTTATAAACAGTAAGCACTAATTACCAAAGAACCAACAAAAGACAATAGCAAGTTCATTTCGTGTCTTTCGTCGCGATTGTGTATTGATTTTTTGACCCGAAAAAAAAAGAAGCACTGGTTTGTCGCGGCGGCAAAATGTCGAGGGATTCATAGCCGCTTAACTGATTAGATATGAAGTTCAAGTGGTATGTAGCGAGCACGCAAATGAGTGTCGCACCATCCTGGCTGATACGGCATATATACACGTTATTTCCTCGTTATGCTGGCGTTTCACGTAATTTGAAGTTGCCCCCACCCTCTCCCTTCTTTTTGGGTGGTTGGAATTAACTCGGGCACTTTTATTACTCTCACCTGTTTGCACACCTGCTGAGTTCTATTATAATAGCGAGACAACGGCCATTGCCAATGCTCCACCCTTAGCTGCCGGTGAACACATATGCTTTCTTTTTTTTTGGGGGGGGGGGGGGAGATTGCAGTTTCTTTTTTTTATTGTAGTAGACTTGTTTTCTGCACCTCTCGCTCTGAGCGAACGTGAATAAGTTCAGCGACTGTGGCTGCCGACTCCATTCTTGAAAAAGGACGATCCCCGGTCGAAACTTAGAATAAATGTACCTTATTTTCGTGCCTGCGCCTGCACTGTTACTATTTATTAATCACTGAATCAAAGGTCATAGTGTTTATATGTATACACAGTTCCAAGCCCAGTCCACTAGTTCGTGCCTCTGATATAGTTCGTGTCCTTGAGCCTATCTACTTTCTCTTCATCACTACATTATATATATATATATATATATATATATATATATATATATATATATATATATATTGTGAAGAAGAAGATGTGCCTGCAGCGAGCAGCATCGCCAACGCCCGGCTCGCTCGGCTCGTGCTTCGGTCCGTTGCTGTGCCGATCGCTGGACGGTTTGTTCACGCTGTCTCGTCGCTGTCTTTAACGGCTAATAAACCTTTTCACATCATATATATATATATATAGTGTGTGTGTGTGTGTGTGTGTGTGTGTGTGTGTGTGTGTGTGTGTGTGTTTGTGTGTGTGCGCGCGCGCGCGCTCTAGGAATAGAAAGTCGTCGCTTACCTAGATGGAAACACCACCGTGACTCTGCGGCTCTGAACACAACAAACAGCGACAAAACAATTACAGCGACTGTCGTGCACGATACGTTGACGACGCTAACTATAAGTTGTCTGCTCGACTGCATCCTTGACAGAAAGCCTCCGTGTGTAACATATGCGTTGCATCGCTGTTGAGCGAGGCATTCGCAAGCGCACGCTCGAGCCAGCTGTCATCAGAGGGGGAAAAATAGCTGTTTTTCGTAACAGCTATTAAAAAATTGCATTATTCCGTTAGAATTCAGTGCGAGTGCAGCCTCCCTTCAGCAATTACTTGTTTTCTTTTTCTAGAGAGGAAGTGTACCTAGAACGAGTTACGGATCACGAACTTCAACGGGGAACAATTGTGTCGCTTCTACAAAATGCTTTTATAGGCACCGAGGCATTATGCCTATTTCAGCAGGCGTGTGGTTTGAAAGGCGAGATGTTTTTTTTTATTTCCCTATTTGAAACAATAGCGACAGAACGTGAGCGTATCTGAGTGTAAGCAACAACACGGAATTTCTTCGAGGAACAGCGCAAGAAACAACGTGACAGCGGAAGAATACGCGCACAGTGCAGCAACAGAAATGATCCAAGATATAGAAGAACGCAAAAGAAACGCTAAACCTTGAGCAATATTGGTGGGCGCTGCGGATGGGGTTGGCCGTTTAGTGCCGTTTGAAGTATCGTTAGGGCGAACGAACAGACAAATGTACACAGACAGACAGACAGACAAACAGATAGACAGACCAAGGTTTTTTTCCGTCGAAGGTCCCCAAGAAAGACTATCGTCTTTAAAAATGCGAAGAACTGCTTCTGAAAGATCCGGCTCAGACCTGTGCAGCGCCAGAACAAGCGCATGACATCACCCCCCCCCCCCCTGGCTGCGAGCACAATGTCGTATGTGACGTCACGATGACGTCGTCACGTGGTCATTTCCATTTCCGCATCATTCGTGCTGACGCCGCCGGACGGCAGACATCAGTTTCAGCACTTGACGAGGCATTCAAGGCTTTCGCCTTACAGAGTGTGTAAAACAAGTTTATTCATTGTTGCCTGGGTGACGGACGAATGACTCGATGTGCGTTCCTCTGGTGTCGCGCGGGTTAAGAATCCTTGTTAAGCTGGGTATCGTTCTCCCGTTTCTCTCCTGCATAAATAATAATAATAATAATAATAATAATAATAATAATAATAATAATAATAATATAATAATAATAATAATAATAATTAAAATAACGTAAATGATCCCAGCGTCGCTTCACCGGCTGATTTTTTGCAAATAATGCGCCTTTTCAGTCGTATCTTTCGAACTCCGCACTTGGGGACAGAATGAACACATTGGGCTGAATGCCTTGCGGGGCGAATCGATGCGTTGTCTTAAAAATACAACCAGAGTGCTGAAATAAAAAAAAAAGATAGCACTAGACAGACCAAGAAAACGGGACGGGCGCTTTTCCTGTCTTCTTGCCTTTCTTGCGCTCTCTTTCTATTTTAATACAACGTGCATACATATTTAAAAACAAAAAAAAATTAGATGTGTATACTGCACATACGTTTGTTCCGGATTCGGCAGTTCGTGTTTTATCAGCTTTAAATAGCCAGCAATTTTTTTTTTCGGGGAGGAAAGTTGGTTTTCAACCATACGTTCCTGCTTACGTTTGTATATGTGCATCTGCATACACATGCAAAATAGAAAAGTCTGGTCGGGGGGGGGGGGTTACTTGCCTGGCTGCGCCCCTATAGCTGTGTCGGTGTAATTATGACTGGAAACAACTGCATCACAATCGCGATTACCTTTAGCGGCCAGATTTGCATCGAGGTGACGCGGCTATAAGGAACAATTCTTCTTGGCATTGGTTATGCTAAAGCAGCAGCAGCAGCAGCAGCCGGACAAGACACAGAAAGACAAACAGACAGACGACGGACGGACGGCGGCGGCGGGGGCAAAAAAAAAAACGATGACGCGCTTCAGTCCGCCAGTATTGTACATACAGTCGTGAACAATATGAGAGGGAGCACCAGATTAATGTCTAACCAATCATTACTCGCAATGTACCGATATCAATGGGATGTAATGAACTGCAGGGCATACCCTTCCGCTTAAGCACTTTGTGCCGTGAGCACATTTGCTCTCGCCAACAGCAATTAGTATTTCAGACATCGAAAAGTTTATTTCAGCGTTCCCTCTCATATTGTCCCGGACTGTACGTACTGAAATACGTGCATGCATGTTCGGAGCATCAACATTCATTCTTCATTTTTTTTTGTCATCAGCAAATAATCATCATCGTCAGCGTCATAATCACCATCGCACGGATCAGCCTAGTTGAAAAGAGCGTTGAAGTAGCAGCTATCCGTCTTACATACATACATACATACATACATACATACATACATACATCCATCCATCCATCCATCCATCCATCCATCCATCCATCCATCCATCCATCCATACGTACGTACGTACTTACATACATACATACATACATACATACATACATACATACATACATACATACATACATACATACATACATACATACATACATACATACATACATACATACATGTATGTATGTATGTATGTATGTATGTATGTATGTATGTATGTATGTATGTATGTATGTATGTATGTATGTATGTATGTATGTATGTATGTATGTATGTATGTATGTATGTATGTATGTATGTATGTATGTATGGATGGATGGATGGATGGATGGATGGATGGATGGATGGATGGATGGATGGATGGATGGATGGATGGATGGATGGATGGATGGATGGATGGATGGATGGATGGATGGATGGATGGATGGATGGATGGATGGATGGATGGATGGATGGATGGATGGATGGATGGATGGATGGATGGATGGATGGATGGATGGATGGATGGATGGATGGATGGATGGATGGATGGATGGATGGATGGATGGATGGATGGATGGATGGATGGATGGATGGATGGATGGATGGATGGATGGATGGATGGATGGATGGATGGATGGATGGATGGATGGATGGATGGATGGATGGATGGATGGATGGATGGATGGATGGATGGATGGATGGATGGATGGATGGATGGATGGATGGATGGATGGATGGATGGATGGATGGATGGATGGATGGATGGATGGATGGATGGATGGATGGATGGATGGATGGATGGATGGATGGATGGATGGATGGATGGATGGATGGATGGATGGATGGATGGATGGATGGATGGATGGATGGATGGATGGATGGATGGAGGGATGGATGGATGGATGGATGGATGGATGGATGGATGGATGGATGGATGGATGGATGGATGGATGGATGGATGGATGGATGGATGGATGGATGGATGGATGGATGGATGGATGGATGGATGGATGGATGGATGGATGGATGGATGGATGGATGGATGGATGGATGGATGGATGGATGGATGGATGGATGGATGGATGGATGGATGGATGGATGGATGGATGGATGGATGGATGGATGGATGGATGGATGGATGGATGGATGGATGGATGGATGGATGTGCATATGCATATGTGCGCGCATATATTCACACATATTACATGCATAGATGCGTGCGATGCACGCAAAAAATACTGTCTCTCTTTCTCTCTCGCACACACACACCCACCCACACATACACATACACCGACGTAGATCTAATAACAACGGTGAAGTAGTACCATGTATTTGGGTGCACGTTAAAGAACCCCAGGTGGTCAAAATTTCCGGAGCCCTCCACTACGGCGTCTCTCATAATCATATCGTGGTTTTGGGACGTTAAACCCCACAAATCAATCATCGAAGTAGTACCATGTACGCATTTGGTTGTTACAATGCAAAGTGCGGGTCTTTTGTCTTATAATGATTTGGATTGCGGAGAAGTATGTTAGGATTTACATACCTTCGTTTGCTGTAAAAAAAAAATACAAGAAAATGAGATCATGTTTGTACAAGATTGTCGAGTAGGTACATAGTATCGACTCAAAACTGTTTTTTGTCTTTGGTCGCAAAAAGAAGTACTGCACCGAACACAGTCAACTCTACGAACTCAATGTATCGGCAGCCCCGCCGCAGTGGTACAGTGGCTAAGGTACTCGGCTGCTGACCCGCAGGTCGCGGGTTCGAATCCCGGCTACGGCGGCTGCATTTCCGATGGAGGCGGAAATGTTGTAGGCCCGTGTGCTCAGATTTGGGTGCACGTTAAAGAACCCCAGGTGGTCGAAATTTCCGGAGCCCTCCACTACGGCGTCTCTCATAATCATATGGTGCTTTTGGGACGTTAAACCCCACATATCAATCAATGTATCGGCACTCGATGCCATAACTTAATACGGTCGCTATTTTGTGTGTGCGGGGAAACTTTCAGAACCCTGCGCCCGCCTCTGAAGCTGAAGAAATACATCCGTTTCTTTTTGTGTGTGAACTTTTTGATCGCAGAGAACATTATTAATAATATTGCTTCTTTCCAATAGAACTTGTAGGGCACACGCTTCCCCATCGTCTCTTTGCCTCCCCCCCCCTCTCCCCACACCACATTTGTCGGACAGTAAGGCAGCGATTACAAAGGAGGATGCTCACATAGCGAAGTGGCGAGCCAGAAGAGGACGAATGCCAAGATGAAGAAGCCGACACCGATGAGTACCACCTTCCAGGGTAGTTGGTGCCTACGAACCACGGAGTCTCACGTGAGATTGCGGGAGGAAAACATTGTTACGTCACGCAGTCATCCGCATTGCTTGCAATGAAGCCTTTCCTTATCATATTGGTCATTGAGATAGGATTACAATATTAACATTTGTCAAGAAGAAATATTCATTCTAATTGACGCCGTCGTCGCTAGTATGAATTGCGATTTTTATTATCGCACGAAGCACCTGACACATTGTCGACTGCACTGTGAGGGTAGGTGTCAATCATCCCAGGAGAACCAGGAGCACCGTAATCATTATTGGGATCCGCGACCTTGAACGGTTTAGTTACCTGAACACGGACTGAAAGAAGGTACTCAGACACACAGACGGAACCGCGTTTGCCTTTAAGTCGATGTTCTCACCATCGCTACTCGTGCGAGAATGAATGCTTATCTCTCACTAGACACATGTAGCACTATCTTAAGGCTTAATTACCGAGTGTT